ACCAGGGGCTCAGGTCTGGGAGCCCCGCGCAGAGGTCTCCGGACTGCGGCATTTCACTGCCACCCGCTTCCTCCCCCTGCGCGCGGCTGCGGTTCCAGCTACAGCCCCGATCACCCCCTGCCCAGCGGCCCCGCGAACGGCTCTGCCTCCGAGGAAGCTCGGCCCATGCGTGGCGCCCGCTGTCGCCCTGGGGACGAGGCTGGAGGCTCCCAGCCTTAGCGCTTCAGGCGCCAGAGCAGCTCTGTCGCAGTTGCCGAGACAGAGATTTTGAAGAGCACGAGCGGCGGCTTCAATGAAACCGGCTTGGGTTGAGCTCTTCTGTCGGGCTGTTTGCAAACCTAACCCTGGCAGGGACAGGGCTGGGACTCACGCCTTACTACTCCCCGTTCAGTGAGGAAATTTTTCAGTGGCTGGGGGAGGCGTTCTCGTATTTTGAAAAAGGGGCGGTGTTCAGTGGCTGTGGAAGTCGTTCTCGTATTTAGAAACAGGTGCGATGTAGATAAGAGACATTTGCTTTCAAGCTAAAACGGATCCTTTAGCCTTTCTTCACATCTCGTTTTAAATACCTCCTACGCTTGTTGCTGTGCTCTAGACACTATTGACTTTGTCAGCACCTGAGCCTTGTACCCCCAAACCAAGTCCATTTTGAATTGTGAACAGCAGTGCTGAGTTCAGAGCCAAATTCAGAGGAAATGCAGCCTCCAGGTTCCTCTGTTCTTCTCACGTTTATACATGAGAACATACGCACTTAACCTGGAGTTGCTGCATTATACTGCATGCTCACATTCAGCTGATGATCCATCAGAAACCAGTCAAGTCAATTCTTTGTCACTTTCTCCAGAGAAAAATCCTTATTTTGCAGCTGCCACCTGTAGCCTTTGTTCTTGGTCAAGGAGCCATCTTTGCATGTTGTTTTAGATCAGCAGGTGGCAACTCAGAGCCATGGACCACAGCAATCCAGGTCAGGTCCAAGCCAGTGAGACTTTTTTCTTACAACCACTTCTCCCCATTTCTGGCTATGGTACTGGCACAGCTCCCAGCCCCAGCACACTCCCGCACCCAGAAGAGGCAAAGCCTCCTACTGCTTAAATCTGCCCACACCCCACCCCAGTCTACAAGACAGATCCAGGGGCTCTATAGGCCAGATTCAGCCTGCAGGCAGGATGCTCCTAACACTCTGACCCCTTCATGTGGGATCCATCTTCATTATTTTTCTCCTCCATCTGTATACTTTCAATAACAACTTCATTTTCTTGTAGGTTATTCGTCAACATTCTTTAGCAGAGTCTCTGGTTTTGCTCTTAAAACACCTTTTCTATGATGATTCCCCATTTATAATTATGTTGAGATGTGTCAGACAAGACAATTTACTCTGTGCCATACTGATTTTATATCATTCTTAATCAAAATGTCATCAATACCAAAGACAGATGCCTCAGAAGAGTTTTTATTGCTTATATGGACCTCTGAACTTAGGCTATTTGATCCATAGCACAGATTCCCAGCACTTAAGCTAACAGAAAAGCTAACAGACAAGCAGTTTAATAGGGATGATATACACAATATGACTGAGTTTGAACTATCATCTGGTAGCAGCTTAACGTTTGGTCTATCATAAACCATTGTGTCCCTTCATTCTGCCCTTCTCTTATTCAGTCCCCTGTAGCAAAGCAGTGTGCGCGCAAGCACTGGGTTTTTAAACGTGAAGCACACTTCTTGCAGATACAGGTAACACATGCAGTGCACTATTTGCTACATTAAGTAAGAAAAAGGAAGCAACATCTAAAGCACTGAAAATTTAAGAATTCAATCCGATTTAAATGCAACTTTAAAAGACTACATCTAAGTCTTCTGGTGTTCTCCTCCCCCCACACTACTTTAAAAAGTGTAGTTAAAATCTTTTTCAAGCCATGCATTCTACATCATTAACAACACAATCACTCCACTATGTACAGATCAACTTGTAGAAATAATGTTTTAATTCTTTTGGAAATGTACAGGTTTCAGTCACCAGTGAAGATCTCTATGTTTTATAATAGCCCAACCTAGAGAACTGAATGTAAATAACCCCTCTCCTGGAATAAGAATCTGCAGAATATGCTGATGAATCACCCTTGGACATACCTGAGAGGGAGACAATGGTTGGACTTAAATTGTTTAAACTAAACTGTAATTTCATACAGTGGACGTTACTTACATCCATAACAATACTGGGAAAAAAATATCTTGAATGACATATTTTGCAGGCAGTAGAAACTTAAGAGAGCAACCTATTCAGTGCCATAAAATATATTTTAGTCCCACTTCTGCAAATTTAATCAAAGCTAACGATCATATGCTCGGTCATGACTCCGCTTATGTCCTCTGTGTCTTGATCTGTGTCTAGAGCTGCGACCTCGTCTCCTGGAGTCTGAGGATCCTCTGTCTCCTTCTCGCTGGCTTTCTATCAACTCAGGTAATTTAGTTGCTACAGATAGCTGCCAGTATTTTGAATCCTGCCATTTTCCCTGTTAAAACAAAGTTGCATGTATTAGTAGTAATGTGTGCAGACAACCAATTTGCAGGAATTCAAATACAGAATAGCTCACAACTATAACAATTTTAAAATGGAAAAATTAAGAATAAGCAAGGTATGCAGAAGCAAAGATCTGTATTTAGAAGCGACAAACAGTCAATTTTGGACTAGAAATATAAGGAGCCACCATGACTGCCAATTTGGTCAAAACACGACTTAGTAGGTAACAAAAAATTTAAAAGAATATCTGTATGTACATGTTAAAACATCAGCTAAATATGTAGCATGAAGGAAGCCTCTATTTTGTAGAGTATCGCAAAACGAAGGCCCTACACCCAGTCATTCCTGAAGAGCTCATCTCTCGAGTGCAGATCCATACAGGAATGAATGCCTCAGCATAGAGCCAAAGCAGCAGAAGTCTTACAGAACAGCCTCCATAGTAAAGGAACCAATTCCTCCCCTCTCCCTCCCTGAAATACAGAAGTGCAGCTAAAAAAGGAGATGAAAAAGCCACTTCATGCTTCCAGCCAACACACTAGTTTGGAGTAGAATTAACCCCATTTCAGGACACTGAATTAGTGCTTAGTTTGGGGTAAAAGAAGCATGGGGGGAGCAATCCATGAAGAAAAAGCAGAGAGGTAGTTAGGCAGGAGGCAGGGCAGCATGACACCTTACAGCAGGGATGGGCAAAATATGGCCTGCGGGCCAGATCCAGCCCAAAGGATTTTATCCAGCCTGCAATGGCCCCACCTGCCCCAGACATGGGAGGCAGCCTAGCTCATGGCATGTGCTGCTGGTCTCACTACCCCTGGGCACACAGTGGCGCTGGGGCAGCACAGCAACCAGACTGCTTCCGAGCTGCTGGCAGTGGCAGCCAGAAGCATCACTACAGCTAGACCTGGCCCTACTGTCCAGGTACCCTGGTCCATCCATCCTGCACCCACTGCCAGGTATCAGATGGAGCAGGTAGGTGGAGACTGGCCTGGGACCCATGTGGGCAGGTTGTGCTTGGCTGGGTGGATGGGATGGGGCCATGGGTGGATGGGGAGTGGCATCAGAGTGGGACAGGTGGGTCCAGGGTCAGGATCACAGGGCAGTGACAATGCAGGGCCAGGGCCCCAGGCAGAGGCACAATATGCTGCCTGCACATCCCTGTGATGGGCAACAGTTCCACAGGCAGGGGTGTGCTGGGAGCGGATCATGGCTCAGCCTTGGGCCTGGGCCCAGGCCCCTTCATTGTCACTGTCCTGCAAGTCTGGCCCTGCCCACAGCCCCATCCCATCCATCAGGTCAAGCACCTTCCTACAGGGGTCCTGGGTTGGTCTCTATGGAGACCCCAGGGCCAGGATTACTGGGTGATCCCAGCATGGAGCCAGGCCCCAGGGCAAAGCCACTTAGGGAGTTTTGGTGAGCAGTTGGGGCCAGGAGGAGGGTGGGTGCTGATCCAGCCTGCAACTGCTCACCAATATTCCCAAGTGGTCTTCCAGCCCAAATAATTGTCTGTCCCGCCTTAGAGACTAACTAGTTCAGAGAGGCGCAAGCTTTTTTAGGCTGCAGCCTACTTCATCAGATGCTACAAATGGATTTTTCAGAGTTCAGAGGTACTAAAGAGAAAGGAATAACGTAATTTAAATACATAAAATAGGGAAATGGAGAGGAAAGAAGGGAACACTACTGAGAGCAAGCAAAAGTATGTAGTAGGAAAGATCTGTATTTAGAGAGCCCAAACAGATAGCATCCAGAGTTCATTCACTTGCTCCTTTACCGAAAATCACATATGCCACCACCCGCTTATAGTGTCCCTCTGCTGTCCAATGCAAACAGTGCATTGGACAAAAAGAGCAGTCACTATATGGAAAAAAAAAAAAAAGAGACTCTAATTTGATGCAAATTCTAGAAAGACAAAAGCCTGTGACAGGGGACTTTAACCTCCCTAGACAGTTCATCACCGACTTCAAAGCAGCTGTTCTGAAACAGCAAAACTTTAAAAGAAAAACAATGATCTGAATGCTGAACTGCAGGACACATCATCCACAGACTGGACTGTTTTAAGTATGATCTCAATGGAGACTCTGGATTCTTATCCCATTACCTGAACTAGTTGTTATAATCCCCATGTTCCTCAGTGGGTTAACTGCTTTATTTACCATTTTTGATTTCTTCAGCCTGCATTCACCTTTCTCCCCTTTCTCTCATCCTTTGTATTTGAATAATTTTATTCCTTCCTACTTAGCATGCCTTCTCTCCACAAGTCTATCAACGAAGTAGGCTGTAGCCTACTAATGCTCATGACCCTCTGAACAAATTAGCCTTCAACACTGGTCGGAAACATTTTCTCACTGTGGGCTGGAATAGCTCCGCTCAGATCCAAGGTGGGCTGGCACTAGAACCCAACTGTCACTGCTTGTCCCCACTGTCCAGCTGTGGCACAGCACAGGAAAGCTTTCCACCGCTCAGCTACAGCATGGTGTCAGCAAAGCCCACAAAATGCCACCAATGCCCCCAAATGCTTCCAAGACCCCAGGTCAATGGGCCATATCCAATGGCTCTGGCTATAAGTTGATGAACCCTGATCTATAAACCCTGTCCTGCCTTCTGAATGAGATTAGTAAAATGAAAGCAGCCCAGTGTACCAGAAGAAATAACAGCTGTAGCAAATCTGATTTCAGAAGTTTCTGGAGAGACCAAAGACCACTGCATTTTAGCAAGCGAATTGACTGGAGAAGCTGATATGGGCAAACCAAGGAAAGTTCCACATTAATTCGTGAACAGAGACTGTAGTGTAAGAAGTAGCACTAAACAAGGTGGAAAAAACCAAACAAAAAAACCTAAACCTGATTTTGATAAAAGGAAAAACAGATTTCATACTACATTTATTGGAGGAATTTGTTTTAAATTTAGGGTGAAGGAAAGTTATGGTAGGAACTGCTTTTCATTGCGATTGTAAGTATTAAGTTTGGCTATGGAGTTCAGTCCAGCAGAAGTGACAGAGAAGGGAGGCAAATCTATGTTATGAAAGCATTTGGGATCTCCTGCTATAAATTTAAGAACTCTACTGAAATAAGTACCTGTATTTCTCGTAGATCTGAAGCAAGAATATCAAAACATACACCCTAAAAAGAGAATAATTTTAGTATCAGTTTGTTATATACAACAGTGAAACAAAAGAAAGCAGTACTGTATTGCAGGAAATTGTGCAGAGCCAAGTTTAACTTGAAGATACAGAAATTCTACATTTGGAAAAAAATAAACAAAAATCATCAACAGGTTATGGAGCAACACATCATACTTTGCTCATCTACAGAAGCTACCACCTCCTTAGCTGCATATTCATGGTTTTTTTTCCTGCAAAGCCATTTTCTTCTACATGTATTTCCTTCTTTACCAATAAATATACTGCTCTTCATTTCCTGAACTGTTCTGCACTGTCTTGGCTTGTAGATTCTTTTGGACATATTGTTTTAATCCAAGAAAAAAAAAAAAAGACTGATAAATGTACAATGAGTAAAAACATTTAGATTTAGAATAGAAACCTCCTGGATTTCAGGTTCATGAAGGGCTTAGTCTGACAGATGGGCCAGTTGGGCAAAACAGGATTTCAAGTAATAACCAGCCGTCTAAAAGTGATTCAGAGGGTGTGGGTTACCAGTTATAGGTAAGGAAAGCCACGTGCACACACTTGCCCACACTGATCAGAGCATTATTTTGTAGGTGACTGTCAGACCAAGCAGGAACACTAAAATCCAATGTAGACAACATCAAGCACTAGTAGAAAAAAAAACAACCCACATCTGAAAAGGAAAAAAATTTAAAAATAGCTTAGGAGAGAAAGTAATATGCTCTACTATTGTAAGTATCCTGAAAAGGGACTTAAAACTAGAAGTTCCCAAAATGAAGCTGGTAAATTGCATATGAATTTCACAACTGTTAACATTTTCAGAAAATTAAATATTAGAAGAATGGGGGTTACATACTTTTCTTCAAAAGTTTGCAAACCAAAAATGCATAAAAAGATATAGTTACAAATAGAAGACAGACCCAATAAATAATTGCTCTTTTACTTAAAATCAAATTATTTTAAAGAGCTAGGTCTATGCATACTCATGTCATTCAGACATTTTAAGCCTTAAAAGAGAAAGTTTCTGTTAACTGCTGTGACCTATAAAAACAGAAATATTGGAACTGACTAATTACTAAATAGCAAACACTTAGAGTGCACAACATACACCTGTAGATTCAAAAAAATTATAATCTTGCACATTATGTGGGTATTACATTTGACAAAAATGTCAAGGGATATCAGAAATTACTTGTCTTCTTCAAGAACCCTGTTATACACTTACACAAATCATAGAACAGTGCCCATTACTTATATTACTATACGTGCCTTTTAAGGAATTAAAATTAAAAGTACATTGTCTAATGCCATTGCAGTGACTTCACTGATCACTGAGTGCAACATTATTAGGCTGGTAATTACCCATCTGAGCCCTCTTAGAACTGGAGATCTAAATCAGTGGTTCTCAAACTTCTTTGTACCAGGACCCAAATGTAAATGTCCATGGCCAGTCCCGACCCAGTGGCCCTCACTCCCAACCCGCTGCCCCGACCTCCAGGCCCCTAGTGTGTGGGGCAGGAGGTGAGCGTGTGGGGGCAGGGGAGACCCCCCACAAGTAGCCCCTTGCAGGGTAAAACTCTGCCAGCCTGCAAGGAAAAAGCTGTGGTTTCCCATGTTTTTCTCCTTTAAAGGAAAATTCATTTTTAAAGTTAGTTTGCAACCCTTTCATATATTCTTGAGATCCACTTTTGGGTTGAGGAACACTGATCTAGATGATAATGCTTTAAAACAGTTGTCAACTTTCTGGAGCTGCAGGCTGAAACAACCCAGGTCAAGTCCAAGGCAGGCAGGTGTTCTGACCTGCCTGCCACATTTTCTCTGTCACTGCTTCTGAATGCACCTCCCTCACCCATTCAATTTCAGCATGGGCACAGCCCCCACCCATGACAGGCATAAGCTAAGGTCCCCACTGCCAAGGACTGCCCTGCCCCTCAGGTCTGCAGACCAGATCCAGTTCACAGGCCATATATTCAGAGGCAATTAGTTTTCTTTCCTGCTATAAAGAAGTCCACAACCTTAAGAGTTCAGTATGATAAACTATCAAAATAGGATTTTCAATCTTACCATCCTTCCCTTGATAAAACACAGTCTGTGCACCTTCCTATCAATATCAATACCCAGCTGTTCTCTCAGTCCACGCCAGACATAGCTTATATTATTTATTTCTTCTGAGCTTTGCAGTATCATTGTAACAAATCCCTGTAGAATAAGAGGTAGAACGTGGAACATACTCCAATAATAATTTCACGTCGGTATATTCACTGCAAATCAATCAATATGCATCAATAACTTGCATATTCATGCTTTATAGAAAGTTGGAAAATAAATACAGTAAAATCCCTGTTATGCAGCACAAGTGGGGTATGAGGGGTGCCAGATATCTAAAAATGCCATTTACTTGAGGCCAGCAGTTTTCAGAGCTCCCCCCACCAGCTCCTGGCCTGCTGGAAATTCCAGTTAATAGTGTCTTCCAGTTACTCAAATGCTGGATAACAGGGATTTTATTGTATTTCAGAAGGGGGTGCTTAAGTAGACATCTAAGAAGTGATGATGAAGATGAAAACAGGAAAGTTTCTACTACCAGCCTTTTCAAATTAAGAAAAAAGCATTACATACATAAAGTTTGCAATAGTCATTCCTGTGTCTTTTACAATGAAATTAAGTAAGATAAACATAACCTTTACAGAATTATACACACAATCCAACTAGGATAGCAGATGACAGGCTCCTCTCCTCAACTCCCTGAAATTCATCATCTTAAAAAATATTGTTTCCAACAAAAATGTCACATAATCCTTCAAGTTTAAATGTCCACTCTTGACACTGGGGCATGCTAATATTTGCAGCCAAAGAGCCACAACTCTGTAGTTGAGGGATAGTCATCATAACTCACTTTTCCAATTCTTCTGACACTTAGAGTAGAGAGGTTATTAGCTCTCTTAGTATTAAGTCAGACAGAATACAAGACAGGATAACAATTTGAGAGTTAACTTTGACTGAGTTATGGTTTTGAAGATGCCACTCTGCCCTGCTTTTTATTAGGTAGGTTAAATTCAATCTCACGGTTGGTATTACTACTGCACAGGGAGAGCTCTGGCCATATGTTAAAAAGAGAAACTACTAGGATTTTTGGCCAGACCCAACACCTAATATATTCCACCTGGAAATCAAGAGGCAGCCAGTGCAGATTCTAGAGCACTTTATTAGTGCTATGGGCTTACAGCAAGATACCCTTTTAAATAAGTGACTACCTTCTACCCCAGGTTTTGCTGGAGATCAAGTGTAATCCCACACAGCATTTTAAATGCCATCTGATTAAGAAATGAGAATAGCAAGGCATGCATCCAAGAGAGACTATCTAAACCCGTGTTAAAAAACAAAATAAAAAGCTTTCCCAGTCCAACTGTTACTATGTGAGCATCAAGGATCCTAGTTTTCTGTTTAAAAATTGCAAATTCTCAGATAAAAACTACTAAAATCCATGTTTTTCCACAACTAAAATGAAACACTACTATATATACACATATCAATTTCACACAATGTTTTATTGATACATTTACAATTTAAAAATAATCTGGAATCCTCTCAGTACCTCAATTATTATAATAAAATAAATTCTAAATATCTACATATTTTGGCGCTTGACAAAAAAACAACAAAACAAATTATCACAGAAAAATCAGAACTCCCCCTGCCCACTTTGCTCACCAGGACACGGGTCCAGCTGCAGCTGTCCTCCCCCTGCTGCTTTGTGGCACTGAACAACACTGATATACTAGTACCCTGCCCCTACCTGTGTTGGCGGTGCCTCTCACTCCCAAGACAGCCCCACCTCCAGCCCTGCCAGTGCCTCGCTCTCCCAACCCACAGCCCCCCACCCTCCCCAACCCAGTCCATGCTGGTATCCCTCACTCCCAACCAACAGCCCCACTTCCCTGCCGACCTGCAATCCCCTGGTTCTGCCAGTGCCCCTCACTTGCAACCCACAATCCACCACCTCCTAAGGAACATGCTAGTGTCCTGCAATCCCAAACCACAGACCCCGCCCCCCAGGTGCCCCTCACTCCCAAGCCACAGTCCCCCCAGCCTTGCCAGTGCCCCTCACTCCCAGCTTGCAGCCTCCTGCTCCCTGCCACGCTGCCAGAAGAGCCCCCCAGTTGCCCATCCCGCCTGGACCAGAACACAGCAGCTGCAGTGGCTCTGACTTGTGCAGGCAGCGGTATAGCAAGTGTGGCCCCAGCGCAAGCTGGAAGGAGGAGTGGAGGCCTATGGCATCTGCTGTCCTGGACTGGGTCTCCTGTGCTGTGCCAGGCAGCTTAGCCATGTGGGTCCACCTCCCCCACGGGCAGCATCTCTAGGCTGGCCCACCCCCGTGAGCAGGAGCACTGGCCCCCATGCCACCAGCCTGGCCAAGCAGCTCCCCCTGCCCCAAAGGGCCCCCTACCCCACTGGAGGAACAGGCACATCCCATCTCCCCCCCCTCCCCTGCTCAGCCCCAGTGCCCAGACACCTTCACCTAGCACTGGCAGGCACCTGCCCCACCTTACACACCCATCCCCTCCACACAGCCTTGCCACCTCCTCCCCACCCCACAGCCCCCTGGACAACCCCCATAGACTTGCCTGCATTCAACTTCCAGGGCTGCTTCCACCACCCAGCCTGGCTGCATGCAAGCCATGTCTGTGCATGTGCACACATGCACTTGGCACCCTCTGCCTCCACATGCCCCAAGCAGCTCCTTGAAGACTGGAATGCTGCCAGCCTCCCAGTGAAAACTCACTATTTCCTGTGATTTTCTCCTTTAAAGAGGAAAATCCACATTTTTCTGCAGCAAATGGAAAACCCAGGTCCCTGCTGAGCATACAGTAGTAGGACTACCATAAGACCATCCAGTTATTAACTTGTCTAGAGCTCATAATTTGCATGTCATTCCCAATAGAGTGAATATGCACCACAACCCAAGTGTTTAGTCCAATGTGGACATCATTGCAGTTCTCTGGACTGAACCTCAACCATCTTTTTCACCCAGGCTCACTATGTTGTATGCATAAAATCAGTGCATACTCTGTATTAGGAAGAAAACAAGTGTGAACCGGCACACTTAAATCCAAGCTTCCTTTAGTGACCCTTTTACACCAACAAATAAGGTTAAATAGGTGGGAATCAAGGCAGGTTTGGCTTTAAACTATTATAGAACTTTCTTTTTCAACACTCAAAATATCTAAGGGAGCCGAGCTAACTGAAGATCAGATATCTGATCTTCATAGTCAAGAGGAAATAAGCCAAGTGAACAGAAGTGAACTGGACTTTGTTAAATGTCAAACTGTTTGTTTATACACACACACACTGTATTAAACCACACCGATTTGCAATTTTATTTCAGTTTAGGTTATTCACTTGAGAAACCAACCGAGTTGAAAAAGCATTCATTCATACATATTATATACATGTCTTAGTCTGTCTCTGTGTGTCTGTCCATAACACTCTTGGAGCACTCTGACTGGTTGTCTCGGCAGCCAATCACAATGCTTACTGAAACAACCAGAGTGCTTTGCATAGACAGACACACAGACAAATGGCCAGACACTGGGGAGGGCATGCAGCCAGATGTGGAGAAGCAGCAGCGCGAGGCAGTGGGTGGTAGCAGCTACCACTGCCCTGCACTGGGGGCAGAGGGTGCACAGCCAGATGCAGAGTGGCAGCAGTGCAGGCTGGTGGCTGGCATGCAAGCTCTGTCCCCGCCTGCATCCTCTCCCTGGTCATTCTTGACAGGCAATTAGCTAATAAAAGCATGTTTTCTTTGCCAACATACAGTGTAATTCATGAGTGGCTGAAACTACTTGTCCTAAAAACATGGAGGGGGTGACTAGAAAAATTTCAGTTAACTAACTCGAGTTAATTCTTCCTATGTTTAATAAAAAAAGCCCAAAACAATCAGTATGAACTCAACCTATATTGCTAAAAAGTCACATACGCAATATTTTTTACATGTTTTATTGGCTAAAATTTTTTCTTGGGAAACGAGGAAACTTTAGTGGATGCTCTTGGGGTTTCAGGACCTGATCCTGCAGGGGAATCCCCAAGGTATGCAGGATTGGGCCTCTGAAGCCCTGGAAGCACCTGCGCAGGGTGGCTGAAAAGCAGGCTGCCCACACGCTCCTGCTTTAAAAAACAGATATCTGCCACAAAACAAAAGTACAAATTTATACTAGAATTTATGCAAATTTATACCCAGAAGTGGAAAACGACAGCTTTTACATTAAATAAATTCTAGTTTAATTAATCTAATGCGACAAATAAAACATTTGATGATAAAGGAGCGAACAGGTGATTAAACCGCTTGCCTGAGAGAGTGCATGCACACACTTAAAACATTTGACCAGAGATTCGGTGAGAGGGAAAATATCTGACCCCACAATCCAGGCGGGGAAGGGGGAGGGGAGAGAAATATGAGAGAGCAAGAAAGGGGG